GTTCAGTTGTGGGGGAGTTAACAATAAGAGATAATGCCACTCCCTGCCTTATATAGCTTTAGCATATGGTGGGAATCCTTTGTTCAAAAAACAGTTCCCAGCGCAGTTGTGGAAAAATACAAGTACCCAAAATGGAGTCCAGAGACATCTGGTATGGTCACATGGCCTTGCAGAGTCAAACCAGCCATTGCTTACAGGCTGACAAACATCCATAAGAAGGTTTACCAAGTGGGGGATAAGCTTCTCCTAGGGCCTATTGTTTTCCCTGATGGCCCATTTCCCTGAATGGGCCCTTCACAACCAGCTATTGAGACTGGGTGTCACACAGGTACAAGCGGGCCACAGGGACGGGCTGGCCACCACTTCCCGCAGCTCCCATTGGCTGGGAACAGCACATGTAAACAAACTGTCTGGCAGCCAGCCAGCGGATTACCCTGATGGGCCCACCACTGCTCTACAGTCAGAGACAGAATACTGGATCAGACAAACACTAGTGTGTTCTGGTACAGTAGTTCTTATGTCAATGTTACGAGTTGCCCAAGAATGAACAAAGTATTCCAGGTGCAACTGTGCCAAAGCTCTATCGGATTATAACCCCTCTGCCCTGTTGCATGATGTCTGTGCATTTGCAGACCAAGGGTATAGCTACTCTAGAGAGCTTATGGAGGCGCAGCTGCACTGCTGTAAGCTCTCTCGCGTAGTCACTCTAAGCTGACAGGAGAGAGCTCTCCATTAAACCACCCCCAATGAACGGCATCAGCTATGATGAAAGGAGATGCTCCCCCGCTGACACAGCACTGTCCACACTGGCGGTTAGGTCATTGTAACTTACGTCACTCAGAGGCATGGCTTATTCACATCCCTGAGCAGCATAAATTATACCAACATAAGCAGTAGTATAGACATAGCCTACAACAACTTTTTCAGAAGTTCACATACAAGTTTAGAGAAGACTGAATTATATCAGGGCAATAAAATTGTCCATAAGCACATTTTAAACAGAGGTGTGTTGCGAATTTTCTTCCCTCCTATCATTCAGTTCATTTTAAGCATCACCTTTGCTGATCATCAACATGGCAAAAATTAGATCTAACTTGCTGTCCACAATCACCTGCATCTCTTTCACCTTTTTTGCTTCTCATATTTCTTCTACTTATAAAGCATGTATGTTTCAGATGTTGTTTTCTCAAATGTATGAGCTTGTATTTTCCATTTATGTGAGTAAATCTCACTGAATTTTCTGTGTTCTCACCTCCCAATTTTCATATTATCTCCAAATTTCATTAACATACTGCTTACTCTTTCTTCCAGTTCTTTAAAAAATACTAAGACTGTATTCAATAAATCACTGGAGAACGCCACAAAAAACTCCCAGAGTTTGAAACAGCGTTTCTTGTTTCTCATTGTTCTCTTGTTCCTCAATTTTTCAATAGTTTTTAGTTTTATGACAATGTATAAATCCAAGCAAGCCTGAATTAGTTTGAGGATAAGATTTCATGAAACACAGTATGTATCTAATGTTTTACTAAAATCTATAGATCATATGCATTCTGCTCATCTACTAATTTTGTATTTCTATGGAAAAATAGTTTTTATTGCGAGTTTTCTTTGAGCTTGTGTTATTTCTCATAGTTATCCTCTAAATGATTATTCCTCCAGTACACTGGTCCCCTCTAGTTCAGCCTGACTTTTCAAAAATAAATTGATAGTGTTTCAGAAAACTGTTTAGCTAATTTCCTTAACAAACAAAGAATGATGTCAAGATAAGTAAGCCAAGTAGTGTAATTCCAAATTTTCCAAGTATTTCCTTAGCAATTCTTCATGAATAGTTATTTTTACAAAGTACTATTAGAGCTGAGTGAATAAGTAATTTTTCAGCTTGGTAACAATCAAAAAAACCCAAAACATTTCTGTGTCAGGTCAAGCTAAATGTTTTGTTCTACTCAAAACAATTTTTGTTTTATTTTTTATTGCCTTGTTTTTTAAATAAATCTACCTAAACTATTAAACAAAATGTCATTTTGAAATGAAGTAAAAATGTTTTATTTCTAAAATATCAAAAGAAAAAGTTACTCACCTTGTGCAGTAACAACTGTTCTTTGAGATGTGTCCCCCTATGGGTGCTCCATTATTGGTGTGTCTGCATCCCTGCGCTGCTGATCGGAGAACTTCGGTAGCAGTGTCTGTTGGGCCTGCACATGCACGGTCTCTGCTTGTGCTGTGCCACAAGGCTAGCCAGCACTCGTGGGCTAACCATCCTCAGTTCCTTCTCTACTACAGAGTCACAGGGAGAACTCTGAAGTAGAAGGGAGGACAATGGGTAGTGGAGCACCCATACAGGGACACACATCGAAGAATCATAGTTACTGCACAAGAGGAGTAACTTCTTCTTCGAGTAGTGTCCCTATGGGTGCCCCACCGTAGATGACTCCCAAGTAGTACCCCCTCCTTGGAGAGCTGAGACTTCGGAGTCGGGTTAGTCCCAGATGATAGTACTGGGGAGCCAAAGATGGCATCAGAGGCAGAGTCCCCTGTGACTGGATAATGTTCTTCGAAGGTGTGGACTGACACCCACGTTGCCACTCTGCAGATCACTGAGATGGAAATGTCCTTGAGAAAGGCAACAGATGAGGAGATTGATCTCGTGGAATGTGTACAGATCAAGTCCAGAGGGATCAGGTTACGGATTTGGTAGCACTGTCTGGTGCAGGGGTCGGCAACCTTTCAGAAGTGGTGTGCCGAGTCTTCATTTATTCACTTTAATTTAAGGTTTCGCGTGCCAGTAATACATTTTAACGTTTTTTAGAAGGTCTCTCTCTATAAGTCTGTATATTATATAACTAAACTATTGTCGTATGTAAAGTAAACAAGGTTTTCAAAATGTTTAAGAAGCTTCATTTAAAATTAAATTAAAATGCTGATCTTACACTGCCAGCCCGCTGCCAGCCTGGGGTTCCGTTCACCTAGTCCGGCAGCAGGCTGAGCGGGGCCTGCGGCCAGGACCCTGGCTAGCAAGGGGCTGGCAGCCAGAACCCCAGACCGGCAGCAGGCTGAGCGGGGCTGGCAGCCAGGACCCCAGACCGGCAGTGGGCTGAGCAGCTCAGCCTGCTGCCACTCAGCCCACTGCCAGTCTGGGGTTCCGTCTGCCGGCTCCTGCCAGCCAGGGTCCAGGCTGCCTGCCCTGCTCAGCCCGCTGCTGGTCTGGGATCCCGGCCCTGCCCATATAGAGTGGGTATCTACCTTCTCCCTGGTTCTAGCCCATTCTCTTCCTCTCTCTCTGCACTGAGCTGAGGGTGGGAGTGCACTGAGCACAGGGCTTGGGGTGAAGGAGCAGGCTGGGGGTTGGGGTGTAGGGTCTGGCCAGGAGCTAGAATGAGGGAGGGGGCTCAGGGTTGGGGCAGGAGATTTGGGGGTGGAGCGCTTACCTGGGCCGCTCCCATTTGGTGCAAGGGGTGCAGGTGGGAATGTGGGGGGTTGGGGTGCAAGAGTCAGCATATGGGGTGTGAGGGGGCTGAGTATGTGTGGAGGAGTTCAGGAGTCAGGGCAGGGGGCTAGGGGTGTGTGAGGAGGGTGCAGGAGTCAGGGCAGGGGGTCTGAGGAGGGTGCAGGAGTCAGGGCAGGGGGTCTGAGGGGGCTGGGTATGTGTGGGGGGTGCTGGAGTCAGGGCTGGGGTCGTGGGGGGTGCAGGGGTCAGGGCAGAGGGCTGGGGATGTAGGGGTCAGGGCAGAGGGCTGGGGGTGTGGGCTGGGGTCATGGGGGTGCTCCCAGCCTCTTGACCTGAGCGGCTCACGGCAGCGGGCTGGAGGGGTTATGCCCTGATTCCACCCCCTTCCCCACGGCCCCATCCCCACCTCTTCTCCGCCTCCTCCCCGGAGCAGCAAGCGCACTGCGGCACCGCTACTCCCCCTCCCCTGCAGGGGCCATCAGCTGATTGGTGGCAGGGAGAGAGAGGAGGAGGGGCAGGAACCCAGAATGCTGGGGGAAGAGGCGGGGTGGGGGGGAGTTTGCGTGCTCTGCAGCAGCAGCTGGCAGGACCAAGCTTCTTCACCCTCCCGCGGGGGCAGGGTGGAGAAGAGCGAGCTGGGGCAGGCAGGATTTTTAAGGGCACGCTGCTGCCTGCCGGGGTCCTGGCCTAAGTTCAGCAGCGGGCTGAGCGGGGCCGGTGGCTGGGACCCGGCAGGCAGCAGCGTGCCATTAACAATCAGCTCGCGTGGTCTTTGGCATGCATGCCATAGGTCGCCGACACTTGGTCTGGTGCAATTTAAGACCCACTTGGATAGTCTTTGGGCTGATATCGCTGAGCCCTTATATCTTTCTGCCATAATGAGAAATAGTCTAGGGGACTTCCTGAAGGCTTTTGTCCTATCTAGGTAGAATGCAAGGGCTCTCCTAATGTCTACGGTATGCAATATGGGCTCCCTATTGTCTCAGTGAGGCTTGGGGTAGAAGGTGGCTAGACTGATTCATGTGAAAGGAGATCACTTCAGGGATGAACCTGGGATGCAGCCAGTGTGTAACCCTGTCGGGGAAGAATACTGCCTATGGATGATGCACCATCAGAGCTGCTATTTCCCCTATTCTAGCCAAGATAATTGCAACCAGAAAGATCGTTTTCATCTATAGATATGCTAGTGACAGGTAGCCATAGGTTCAAAGGGAGGCCTAGTAAGCCCTTTCAACACTAGGTTTAGATCCCACAAGGGGGCAGGAAATCAAAGTTGAGGGAAGAGGTTTGCTATTCCCTTAAGAAACCTTTTAGTGGTTGCATGCAAAAGCACTGGGGATCCCTCTACAGATTGGAGTCCACTGAACAGCTATTACAGCATTTCACCAATCTTTTAGGTGTCAGGGCATATTTCAAAATACATGGAAGAGTTGCTGACACTGGAGAGATTTGTTGGGCCATACACCAAATCTTGAACCTGGACTATTTCTGCAGGTAAGTGCATCACGTGCAGGACTTTCTACTGTTTAATAAAACCTCTTGCACTTCCTTTGAGCATGAGCTTTCTAGGTGCTGGAACCACGTAGGAGCCATGCACTGAGTAGAAGCATCCCCAAGTTGGGATGTATGGTACATCCTTTGTCCTGAGAGAGAAGGTGTGGAGTGGACGGACGGAAGATCGGTGGGCACATCGTGAGCTGCATCTGGTAAGGGTACGAAGTCTGTCTCGGCCACACGGGAGCAATCAAAATTATGTAAGCTCCGTCCCTCTTTATTTTTAGCACCTTCAGCAGAAGAGGAAATGGAGGGAAGACATAAAGAAGGCCCTTGTCCCATGGGAGGAGGAGAGCATCGCCCAGAGAATGCTGTCCGATACCCACCCTGGAACAGTAACGTGGACACTTCTTGTTCTGGTAAGTGGCAAACAGATCTATGGATGGTGTTCCCCACCACGCAAACAAGATGTGAAGTACTGATGGGTGCATCTCCCTCTCGTGGTCATGCAGGAATGTGCAACTGAAGCTTCTCTGCTACCACATTCTGAGTGCCTGGGAGGTGAGTTGGGGATAAGGTGATGTTGTGAGAGATGTACCAGTTCCATAGTTTAATTGCCTCCGTGCATAGAAAGGGCGATCTGGCTCCTCCCTGGTGGTTGATACAATACATGTTATTTTGTTTGTCAGGACCTTTATATGTGATCGTGTTACCAGCAAGAGGAAATTGGCACAAGTGTTCCTGACTGCTCTCAGCTCGAGGAGATTGATGTGCAGGGAGATTTCTGCAAGTGACCATTTTACTTGGGTTGTGAGACTGTTTAAATGCACACTCCCATCCTATAAGGGATGCATCTGTGGTAAGGAGTGACGAAGGTGGCACCTGTAAGAAGGGGATCCCTTTGCATGCATTGGCCGGTTTCTTCCACGAGTCCAGGGAGTTCTTGATTCTGGTAGGTAGTGACAGGGCTTTGTTCAGACTGTCCCTGTTCTGTAAACTGAGCTGAACCATGGCTGTAAGCATCACATGTGAAGTCTGGCATGTGGAATCATGCCCCAGGAGCTGGATGCAGATTCTGGCTGTCACTTGAGGGCTGCATTGAGCAGCGTCTATAAGCGATACCAGGGACAGAAACCTGTCCCGGGGTAGGAAGGCTTTGGCCTGTAGCACATCTAGGTCAACCCCTATGAATTCTGGGCATTGCACTGGTGTGAGGGTCGACTTATGGGAATTGATCTGCAGGCCCAGCTCCACATACAAGCATATCATGTCTTTGGTGGCTTGATGAGCCTCCTGAAGTGACTGAGCTCTAAGGAGACAATTGTCCAGGTAAGGGTAGATCATTATCCCTTGAGATCATAGATGGGTGGCCACCACTGAGAGAACTTTGGAAAATATTCTTGGAGCCGACGGAAGTCCGCAGGGGAGGATCCTGTATTGGTAGTGGTCGTGCCCCAGACTGAACCTGAGGAAATGTCTGTGAGCCAATAATACTGAGACGTGAAAGCAGGCATCTCATAGGTCAAGGGCCTAAAGCCAATCTCCCTGTTCCAGGGATGGAATGATCATCGACAGGGTGACCATCTTGAACTTCTGAGCTTTGACAAACTCGTTGAGAGCTCTGAGGTCCAGGATGGGTCTCCAACCTCCTTTCCTTTTGGGTATTAAGTAGAATGAGAGTAGAACCCCTTGCCTCATAGATGCTGAGGTACTGGTTCTATGGCTCCTAACTGCAGGAGTTGATCTATCTCCTGCCATAGTAGACTCTCATGAAAAGGGTCCCTGAAGAGGGATGGGAAAGGGTGTTGTGGAAAGGGTAGGGAGGTGAAGTGGATGTAATATCCAGATCTGACAATCTCTAGGACTCATTTGTCTGATGTTATGCACTCCCAGGCACTGCAGAACATTGCCAAATGGTGGCCAAATGGGTGCGTGGTCACAGGTAATATAGTGGGGAGTGGTCTCACAGCGCCTCGATCTGCCCGTCAAAAGTGATGCTATGGGGCAGGTGGTTGAGTCAAGGACTGGAAACCAGAATGCTTTTATTTTGAGACCTTTCCTTTTTTCCTCTGATGCCATCATTTCCATAGTGACGTTGTGACGGGAATTCAGATGAATAAGGCCTCTGTTGTTACTGAGGGCTAAAGTGTCTCTCTTGCCCCAGTGTATAGATTCCCAGTGACCTGAGAGTGGCCCTGGAATCCTTCAAGGAGTGGAGAGAGATGTCAGTTTTCTTGGCAAAGAGCTTTACCCCTTCAAAGGGGAGGTCCTCCACTGTGATCTACATCTCCTTCAGAAAACCCAAGAGGTGGAGCTGCAACACCTATCTCATCACCACATCCTTAGAGATGGTCCTGGCAGCTGTATTGGTGGTGTCGAGGGCTGACTGCAAAGCTGTTTTTGCCACCAGTTGCCCTTCCTGGATGATGGCATTGAAGGAATCCTGGGAGCTCTCCGGCAGTTTATCAATAAAGTCTTGTAATTTATTGTAATTTGTGTAGTCATATTTCACTGTGAGTACCTAGTAATTGGCTATTCAAAACCATAAGGTGGCAGAGGAATACTTCTTCCTACCAAAGAGATCAAAAACGCTTCCAATCTTTGTCGTAGGGTGTCCTCTTAGAGTGGTATTGTCGGCCATGAGAGTTCACAGTGTCCACCACAATGGAATTGGGTGGGTAAATAGGAACTCTGATTCGTTTGTTTGTGGGGACATCATATTCTTATCCACCCGCTTGCACATTGGCGCCACCAAAGTTGGGGTTTGCCATACCATCTTAGCTGGATCTACGATGGCATCATTGATTGGGACAGTGATTTCGGAGGTAGTTGAGACATGGAGGATATTGATAAGCTGAAGGTGCATAACTTCGCCAATGGTATGCGGAGGGTGTCTGCCACTCTCTTTGCCAGCTCTTGGAACAAGCAGAAATCATCCACCATGGAAAGTGGTGATGGCATGATCACTTTGTCCGATGAAGAAGAGGCTATGGCCTTGGGTGTGACCACCTCCTCTGTGTCCACCAATTGCTCCTCCACTTCTTGGGGTTCTGAGACCTGTGACGCTGTAGCCAGGGGGGCATGCCTGGGAGGTTCTTGGGGGATGCTCGGTGCCCTCAAGGAAGGCTGGCAATGCGCACCCAGGGGTCTCAATATGGCCACTGCGCTGGTATAGGGCCTGGTGGAGGTGCATACCAAGGTGGCGGCGGTGCCATATGGTGGTAGGTTCCTAGACACTGTTAATATTGGGTCCCACATGGAGATTGGGAGGAGTAGAGAGAAACCCAGTCAGGCTCATTGTCCGATCCTTCACTCAACATTGGAAGGGCATGATTGTGGGGAAATACCCCTTGATCGGCCATGGCTCGGTGCCATGATCCCGGTACCAAAGGGGAGAGAATAAGGAGCTTCCAACACAGCCACTGGTCTGATGGAATTCTGCCAATACCGAGCATCCCAGTGTCGGTGGCAGTGCTGGGGGAGATGGGGACCTCGCCTGGACCGATCTGTCCAGTGTCGGATGGGGATATGCCACCGTCAGTACAGATGACAGCTTGCATACCAGGAGCGCCTTAGGGTGTTTGTCCGTGTCCTTTTGTACTGAAGATTCGGTGCCCCAAACGTTCTGTGGGGCTATCAACAGTACCGGACACCAACGGTCGCCACGAGATGCAGGTGCCAGATGTTCTCAGTGCTGGTGGTGCTGAGGATACCGAGCGAGATGGTGATCGCTTCGGCTATCCCTGGGCTTGCTGAGAGGACTTCCCGCTCTCTTTTTTGATGTGTGAGAGGAGTCTGCAAAGTTGAAGGTTGAGGGGAAGACTCACACTTGCCAAAGGGCTGAGGTCAGAGAGCCTCCTCCATAAAGATGATTTTCTGGTGGAGTGCTCTATCCTTGTAGGATTCTGTCAGAGCTGCTGGGAGAGGGAACACTACTGTTGGATGTGCCACTCACCGAGGCAGTGAATGCGCTGGGAGTGTTTGTCTGCAACTGAAATCACCTCGCTGCAAGTGTGACACTTCTTGAAGCATGGAGAATGGGGCATACCCTTGTCCAGGTGGGACCTCCCTACTGGGGGTCGACAAGAAAAAAGTCTTTTCTTTCTTTTTTTCATTGCTGCTTTTAAGGCCTGGCCAAATAAAAGTCAAAAGGCGGCTAAAGGGTTTCTAAAAGCTAAAGATTAACAACTGAAAAGGAGACTTAACCATCTCCTAAAGTACAGTTAAGGGCTCCATCTCTAGCCAGGGTTGGTTGAGAAGGAACTGCGGACCTTTACCCACGCATGCCTGGCTAGTCTCCTGGCACAGCATGAGGAGAGACAGCACATGTGCAGGCCCAATTGACACTGCTACCAAAGTTCTCTGATCAGCAGTACAGGGATGGGACATAGATACACCTACAGTGGAGCACCCATAGCAACACTACTCGAAGAAGAATGAAAAGTTTTGACTTTTTAAAAAGTTTTCCCTTTCTTTTTTTAATCCAAAACTATTAGTCAAATTTACAGATTGTTTTGGTCAACCCCAAACTTCATTTTTCAGTGACTGAACTATAAACTCATCATAGGGGACAGAAAACTGAACTGGGTGAAAGGATGTAGAAACTGTGTCCCTCTGAGGAGGCTGCATTCTCAGATCTTTTCCCACTCCCAGGACTATTATTTCCGAGCTGCTTCTTTCTTTCAGTCTTAGCCCTGGTCTACACTAGGACTTTAGATCGAATTTAGCAGCGTTAAATCGATTTAAACCTGCACCCGTCCACACAATGAAGCCCTTTATTTCGACTTAAAGGGCTCTTAAAATCGATTTCCTTACTCCACCCCTGACAAGTGGATTAGCGCTTAAATCGACGTTGCCGGCTCGAATTTGGGGTACTGTGGACACAATTCGATGGTATTGGCCTCCGGGAGCTATCCCAGAGTGCTCCATTCTGACCGCTCTGGACAGCGCTCTCAACTCAGATGCACTGGCCAGGTAGACAGGAAAAGAACCGCGAACTTTTGAATCTCATTTCCTGTTTGGCCAGCGTGGCAAGCTGCAGGTGACCATGCAGAGCTCATCAGCAGAGGTGACCATGATGGAGTCCCAGAATCGCAAAAGAGCTCCAGCATGGACTGAACGGGAGGTACGGGATCTGATCGCTGTTTGGGGAGAGGAATCCGTGCTATCAGAACTCCGTTCCAGTTTTCGAAATGCCAAAACCTTTCTGAAAATCTCCCAGGGCATGAAGGACAGAGGCCATAACAGGGACCCGAAGCAGTGCCGCGTGAAACTGAAGGAGCTGAGGCAAGCCTACCAGAAAACCAGAGAGGTGAACGGCCACTCTGGGTCAGAGCCCCAAACATGCCGCTTCTATGATGAGCTGCATGCCATTTTAGGGGGTTCAGCCACCACTACCCCAGCAGTGTTGTTTGACTCCTTCAATGGAGATGGAGGCAATACAGAAGTAGGTTTTGGGGACGAAGAAGATGATGAGGAGGAGGTTGTAGATAGCTCACAGCAAGCAAGCGGAGAAACCGGTTTTCCCGACAGCCAGGAACTGTTTCTCACCCTAGACCTGGAGCCAGTACCCCCCGAACCCACCCAAGGCTGCCTCCTGGACTCAGCAGGCGGAGAAGGGACCTCTGGTGAGTGTACCTTTTAAAATGCTATACATGGTTTAAAAGCAAGCATGTGAAAGGATTACTTTGCCCTGGCATTTGCGGTTCTGCCTTTGCAAAAGGTTTCTGGGGAGGGCAGCCTTATTTCGTCCTTCATGGTAGGACACTTTACCACTCCAGGCCAGCAACACGTACTGGGGAATCACTGTAGAACAAAGCATTGCAGTGTATGTTTGCTGGCATTCAACCAAAATCCGTTCACGCGGTGGGAGGAGGCAAAATGCGACCTTGTAACGAAAGCACATGTGCTATGTATGTAATGTTAACTTTCAAGGTTTACCCTGAAAGAGTGTAGCCACTGTTTTATAAAATGTGTCTTTTTAAATACCGCTGTCCCTTTTTT